CCAGGCACCAGTACAGGCTGGGGGCTGACCTGCTGGAAAGCAGCTCTGCAGAGAAGGACCTGGGAGTCCTGGTGGACCACAAGTTAAGCATGAGCCAGCAATGTGCCCTTGTGGCCAAGAAGGCCAAGGGTATCCTGGGGCTGCATTAGGCAGAGTGTTGCCAGCAGGTCGAGGGAGGTGATCCTCCCCCTCTACTCAGCCCTGGGGAGGCCTCACCTGGAGTCCTGTGTCCAGTTCTGGGCTCCCCAGTACAGGAGAGACATGGCACTACTGGAGAGAGTCCAGCGGAGGGCTACAAAGATGATGAGGGGACTGGAGCATCTCTCCTCTGAAGAAAGGCTGAGAGAGCTGGGCCTGTTCAGCCTGGAGGAGAGAAGACTGAGAGGGGATCTCATCAATGTGTACAAGTATCTGAAGGGAGGGTGTCAAGGGCCAGCCTCTTCTCCGTGGTGCCCAGTGACAGGACGAGAGGCAACGGGCAGAAACTGAAACACAGGCAGTCCCATCTGAACCTGAGGAAAAACTTCTTCACTGTGAGGGTGACTGAGCCCTGGAACAGGTTGCCCAAAGAGGTTGTGGAGTCTCCTTCCCTGGAGGTATTCAAAACCTGCCCAGGATCACGTGCAGGCGATGTGCTCTAGATGACCCTGCTTGAGCAGGGGGGTTGGACTAGATTATCTCCAGAGGTCCCTTCCAACCTTGACCATTCTGTGATTCTGTGAAAAGTTCCTTCTACCTACACTATTGAAATGAGTGAAGCGGTTCTCCTAAAAACGTTTGTTCAAAATCAGAGTAGAATTAACATGCCATTTTATTTCTATAAAATTGAGGAGAAAACTCTGTAAAAAAAAAAAAAAAACAGTAACTAAATACGATTAAGTAACTTTAAATTAAAATCGGTTACTTCAGTGAACTTACTAACATTAACTCACTTTTTCTTAGTGATAACTTCATGCTTCTCTTTCTTTTCCTCAGTGTTCTCTCCACTGTGTTGTGATTGGTTGATGTCTTGAGTTTCTTCAGACTCTCCATTTAGTGTCTTCAAACCTTTAAAATTAAAGGAAAAGAATCAGCACTGCAGGAAGCAAGAAAAGCATCAACTCCAATGCCACAAATGTTTTTCCTCTAATCTTGATATCTACCAGCTGAAGCTATATATAAAAAAACAAGAACATGTTATGACAACTTCTAAGAATTCAGTCCCATAATTTCCTTTATCTAAATAAAAGGAGCAGGCATATAAAATATTGCTGAAGGCTACAGTTTCAAGGTAATTCACAACACATTTCAAGATAAACTGAAGGACATCTGAACATTAACCCAAGAAGTATTAAGAGTCTATGACAATTAACCTGACATGATCAACATATATTTCAAGAGATCCATGTTCTTTCTAGGTTTGTCAGGCTACAGCTAATAGGGTAATTGGTTATTTATTATTTATAGCTTGAGTAGTGAGAAAGTTTGACTATACCTTAACCCAGATATTTATTGCAGATTTCTAATATTTTAACTACAGAAGTTAATAGTTCCATGGATTCTTGCTTATTGTCAACAACAATGCATATATAGGTATAATCAAAATGTAAAAAATGGTATATAAAGGTAAAATAAGGCTTAGTATGTAGTACAGTAATAATATGGTAAGTATATTTGAAGAGCAAATATATCCATCATACCATTAGCATAAGTAGAAAAACAGTGTGCTGTGAAGAAGCTTTAAACTAAATTGTACTTAGTTAGAAGTCAAAGCAGGAACATTTGTCCTCTCAATTTCCATGAGGAATATATTTTGCTCTACGATTACAAGCTGGTTTTGGAATATTCAAGTTTATCAAAGTATCACTCTAGGTTCAATTTAGAAGGATACAGCCCATTTTTTCAATAGGCTTACAAAAAAACCTCCACTATTTTTGAATAAACTCCTATGCTACTTCAGGAAAAATACAAAACACTTAGTCTTAATACTTTCAGGCTAAGATGATACTAAAAAGCAGAAAACCAGTTTTAAAATAACACTTCAGCAGTTAGATCTACTTAAAAATTATTTAGAATTACTAAACAGATTCTGTTTTGAATTTTAAAAGGACAGAAGTAGTACACCAGTACATGAAGGAACTGGAATGTCTTTTTTGTAGCAAACAAATATCCACATTTCTATGAAATTCCCAGCTAGTCCAAGCAAGTCAGCTATCCTTATATATTTGACTGCTGGACAATGTGATTTTTTTTGTTGTTGTTGAAGTCTAATATTAAACTTTACTACATAGCAAAAATTTGGAGTGACTTCACTAGTCAGACTATTCTACTCTTTCATCTCCATAAAATGGCAAGATGAATTAATAATCTACTTCATTAATAATCTACTTCTATATTAGTTACAAATATAGTAGTATATCAACTTCTGAATTTGGTGAATTCTTACTATTATTAGCATTGATCTAAATTATATAAATTTATTACTGCTCTACTCCTATTTCTTCAGTAATCATAGCCTTCAAATATTTTTGCAGAATTCTCCTCTTGACATTTGAGTTCATAGTTACTTTAACTTTTTCCCAGCCCTTGTCACTGCAAAGATTTAAACACTTTTACAGTTCCTGCAGTCTAGCACAGTTTTCCATTGTCTCTTTCTCATTTTGATCCTCTGCTTCATAACACATGTATCACCTCCGTGTGCTTCATGCATTCTTTGCTTATTTTTTTATTTTTTTTTTTTTAAAACTTCTCTCCAGTAACTTAAGGCAGTTATTAAAGGCAATTGGGAAAAGTTTAATATTGTTGTACTTTTAATTAAAAGAGCTAATGATTAATCTGGATGATACTCTGTTAAAAGTATAAAAGCCTTTTCTTCTCAAATGATAAATTCATTCATGTTACACTATCACTGTCTTTTTTAAACTACACTGCTGTGATATATGTTCAATAAAGCAGCATGCAGATGGCAAAAAGCTGATACTGCTTCTAACACCACAGATAGTATGCATGGTAAATTTAATGCTTTTAAAGAAAAGGTAGAAGTATAGGCTTCCTTGAAGACACTAAGAGGTTATTCTATCTACTGTTTAACAGCTTTTCACAAGATAGTAAAGTCAGGATTTTTTGCTTTACTATAAATTTCTTATTCTCACTTTCTCTTCTTATTCTCACTTTTTGTAAGAGTCCTTCTCTTCAGGTAATAACAATAAGATAGCCTTGGAAAACATACATGCAGTAATAAATTTTACCCTTAAACTTGATACTTGGTCATAAAAATACTATTTTTGAATATTTCAAATAGCCTAAAGATTTTGATAGATGGGTGAAACTCTTACATGACTGCTTTAGATACCATTTGAACTTGGCTCAGAGTCATTGGAGACTGGATATAAACAACAAGAAACTGAAAATGAAATGTGTAAGGTTAAATGAAAGACCTACTGCATTTAAAACACTGCACCAAGAATTAATTGTGAAAACTCATTCAGCTATTGTAGTCCTAGAAGTATGCCAACTGAGTTTACTTCAGTATCAATCCTCTTCCTTCCCTATTCCAAGTATGCAACTTGGAAAATAACTGCAGTTTATTTGGTTACTAAAGAAATCCCATTTTACTATAAAGTTCATACAAAATATAGCACAAACAAACATAGCTGGTAACATTTTAGCCTCTGCTACTACAATGAAGTCACCTAGAGAGGGTGGGATGAAGTACACCAACCCTACCTGTTTGTTCTTTTTCCTTTTCCATTTTTTTATTTGGTCGTTTCTTCCATTGTTCCTTAGATTTTTTGATTTCCTCATGCTGCTTCTGCTCAGCAAGTGATTTATTTAGCACCTGTGAAAGAACAGAATCACCTTCTCCAACTAGAAACATGGTCTTGAACTTGTTGTACAGCATTGTAGATTTCTCCATGATAACTTGGCTAACTTTGAACTTCCGTATCTGAAAATAAAAAGGTAAAACAGTCAGCTCCACTTATATATTTAATCTCATTAAGTGCTACATGAAATTTTTAACTCATTGTATTCTATGTTTAAACTTGAACTGAGATCAAGGACTTCTACATGCTCCAAAGTAGTAAATAAACTTAATGTGCATTCAAAAAAAAAAAATTTTCCCTTTTGAAGTTATTTTTAACAAAGTTGCATATCTCACCTTCTTTAGAGTCAAAATCATCTCTGTGTGCTTTTGAGCTTGCTGCATCGTGACCTGAAGGGAAGCAAGCTCATCAAGAGCCTCAATACACCTGTTCACATCCTGTATATAAACAAAAGTTTGATTTGAAGACTTTTTTTAAATGCTAACAATCCTTGGTTAGCCACATTAAGAACAAAAAAAAAAAAAGAAGGAAATGCTGAGTTTTAGCTCCTGTTCTTGGGGGAAAGTAGCAAAAAAAACATCAGATACTGCTTAGATCTCTCTCCAAAGCAGAGGGGAAATCTTCACTCATTAAAATAAATGCATGCTCAAGTTCTAGAAACCATCTTGGTATTTGGCAGAGAAAAAGGGGGATTCAGTACTATTCTCAGCAGAATACGCTAGTTGCCACATTTACTTAGTGATAAATGCAATTATGATGAAGGAAGTGTCTTTGCTCTAGCTCTACAACCAAATTTTATAATCCAGACAAGAATAAGATTACATCTCTAAGTTTTTATTTCAAATATTTTTACATTTGAATTTTACTATCTGGAGTCAAGCTGACAGAATGATATTTAAACTGAAACATTATGCTGAAGTTAAATTTTTTAAAATTTAATGTGAATTACTTTGAAGTCAGAATATTTTTATAGGCTTAAGAGTTGGCCATACTGGAAACAAATGTTCTGCTCTTTAGTGTGACAGCACAAACTTCCAAACTGAGTTGAAACTGCTTGCTATTTCTCACGCTGCTAAATGCAGAAGCCACTGCAGCGTTTGTTCTGAAATGCTTCTTCACTTAAACTGCTAGTTTCTCATTGTACAAATAGCCTTCATGAAGTGAAGGTGCTAAATCAGAGGCCAAACCCCTTTCAACACTTTCCACATGATGGTACTCTGAGGAGACCAGGTGAGTAATCAAGAAAGAAGTTCCCCAGAGTCTTGCAAATTAAAGGAATTCCTTTCCTTCAAGATATATTTTTTAATGAATCATATGTCAAACCAGACATTCAAAAGTATTTCCTGCCTGAATTGTACACATACATAAATTAACAAAATATACTTACAAGATTATCAATTTTGAGCGAGTTTTTAATTTCTGCGTGTATCCTTTGAAGCCTAGAATCCATTGATGTTTCTAAAGATTAGAAATAGCAGGCATGAATATTTGATAATCTCTTGAAATGTTTTTGTAGAAACATTTCTACAAACCTGAACTTGAGGCACAGAAGGCAAAATATATGAGTAAGCAACTCATATTAAGTTTTCATAAGGTACATTACGGTAGCAAATACATTTTTTTTTAAATTGGACACGCAACAACAACATGGAGTTACTAGCTGAAAATTTTTCTGCTGTAATATCCAACTGTCACCTTCCAGAAGTTAACCCCAGTTAAAAGGAAGTTTCAATAAATAGTAAGAGTTGGGAAGCTGGAGAAGCTTTATGATGAGAGGATACCTGAATATTGATGCTTTGGATTTCAGGAACTTGGACACAGTCATAGTCCAAATCCATCCAAATAAAGTAGTTAGCAACATATGTGCCCTAACAAGTGGTAAAGACAAATGAGGAAGTTGATCTCTAACTCATATGTGCTCAATGTCTACTTGGATTCTCTTCAGTATACAAGTGGTATACATACTGGACAATATTGCAGACCAACTGCTTATTTTATTAGCTCAATCTGTCTTGGACACATTTATATAAAAATCTCTCCTGCTGCCAACACTAGAATTGGTTCCAGTCTAAACCGTTAGATTTTTACCATATAAAAAAAGATAGGTGGAACCTGAAGGCAGTGGTTTGGACTGCCCTCAAGAAAGACATATCTAAGAAGGGTAGGGACACCAAGAAGGGAATGACTTATTCTTGTAATAGTTGGTTTGGAAGTCTGGCCTAGTGGACAAGAACACAGTAACTATCCCAAATCTAAGCCCCTTCCCTAGAAAGGGATACCATCTGAATATTTGCAAGGGGTCCCCTCTGAATATTCTGCTATGATGGGACAGAAAATTAGTAGTAAAGGGAAAGAACTAAAGTGATTCCGTTCAAAGAACCAGAACCTTTGATTCCATACACTGATGAATTGAGAACATGTGAAAAGGTTTAAAAACTAGCATGACTAGAATGATGGGAATACTGAAGACCAGTTCTAATACACTGCTGAAGAAAAGAATGTAGAAGGCCTAGAACAAGAACACACTGCTTCAAAGAACTGAAGGAAGTAATCACAGATTAAACATCTTTGACTGAGATCCCAAAACCCACTTAGCTGTAAGTCTTATTATCCAAACAGATATTTCTGTTCAAAAATTTAAGACAGTCAAAAATATTCAGTTTAGATTCTTTAAACTAACCTCTCTTCTTCTCCATCCTCTTAACTTCTGGTTTCTTGCCTTCTTCTTTATTTTGCCTATCAAAACACGAAAGCATTTTTGTAATGTTTTCTTCTAAAGTCTTGGGTCTTTTTTTATTATTATTTTTAAATGAGATGCAATGTTTTGAGGTACTCAAATTGTGTTTAAAATACAGAAGTCAAACCCTGCTTTCTTCAAAGACCAAAATAAATTAAATAAATATATTTATTAAGATACTGCAGATAAGGAATCCTCCAGATTAACAGACAGTTTCCCCTAGAAGCAGCAAATAAAAGCATTATTAACATGTAAAAATTAAGATAAAACTGCAGTGTATGAAAGATTCACAGAAAGAGAATATTTTAAGATGACACAAATTTAAAACTGGCATTCAGGTTTGCCTCAGGGAATTATGGGGAAAAAGAGTGATTATATGATAAATAAAACAAGTCCCACAGCAACTGTAATAAAAGAAGTACAGAAATAAGTAAGCCATAAGTATCCCACAACTAACCGTAATATATATCACTGATCATTTAAATAACCCTGATGCAAGTATTAATAATAAAAAATAAGGTTTAGTACAGGTTTCTTCAAATCTCCTTATGGAAAGAGCCAAGAAAAATCTCTAATAATTAACCTCGCTAAAAATAAGGACTCAGAAAAATAAAAAGGTCGGCTTTGTCCTCCAGTTATAGGAGGAAGAAGACAAGGATTATAAAATCTTTCAAACAAGCTTTTAAACTATTTTCATTCAGGAAAAAATAAGCCCATTTATCATTTCCTCAGTTTTATTTTATCATAGAATTTCAAAGCCTTATTTTATAATTGGCCTATTCTAGAATTCTGTGAGTTTATCCAACTGTCATAACAATAAACATCTATAAAGACAAGAATCCTGCATGTCTATCAGCTTTCATGCTCCTTTCACACTTTATCTGGTTACAGAATCAAAGACTTCCAAAAGGTTAACATTATTATACTTCTATTGTTACCTGCACAGACTCGCGTTCTTTAAGCAAGGCTGTCTTCTGTACAGAGCACTGAATTGGGTTTGCCTAACAAATATTAATGAGGTAGCTATGAAGACCAGAAAAAATGGAAAATAATGATAAAAAAAAAACAGAAAAATTCAACTTATATCCATTATGCTGACAGAGGAACTTGCAGGAAAGCAGACAGCATAAAAATAAACCTGTTCACATTTTATTAATATTAGGTTTTGTGCTTAATAATTAGGTACCAGCTATAATCAAAACTATACACAGTTACTAAGATAAGCTACTGCTCCTTACTTTTACTGAAGTAGAACTCTAATTCCTTAGATGCATAAAATATGAAGTCTAAAAGTAGAAGACTTAATTAACATAACCAAATCAATACAAGACGATTTATTGCAGAAATCAAAAAGCATGTCAGATTTAAATAATAATATATTAAGAGTTGCAGAAACAATAAAAATAATTTAGTGTCTTTGGGAGATTGGAAATGTTTAGGTTTGCCCCAAGGAAGAAGTGTGTTTAGGTTTCTAGAGAAAGAATAACTGAGGAGGGAGAGAAGAGAGGACTTGGAAATCTTACTTCCTACTCTTCCTACTGTCTCAACATCCCCCAAGTTTCTGGCAGGATCTTCTCTCCATGCTCATGCTTGCGTCATTTGTGATAATTTATCTTCCGAGTGCAAACTGTTCAATATTACTCAATTGGCTTCGCAGAGCCAGAGTAGCATGAATCATAACTTCTTCCTTGTTCTATCTGACAGTCTGGCCTCCAGTTGCCAGAGAAGGAAGTATTTTCCAGGGAACCCCATGTATTCCACAACCTGATCAAAATTCCATAGCCATGAATTAATAGATCCTATCCATCTCATGTATTCAAGACTTAAAATATAATACACGGCCCTGCTGAAACAATTAGCTTTCTCTTCACAGACGTGTTCTTGGGTTCTGTTTAGAAGTATCCTATCAACTCTGCCCTACTGTTAGGAAATCTAAGTCACTGAAAGACTGACATCACTTAATTTCTGAATTCAATTTTTCCCATCCTCCCACAATACTACATATTGATGTACAAGAGCTTTTTTATTCTCCACTTAAAAAGTTAAATAATGCTCAGGGAAAAAAAGGCAGAGGGAGGACACAGAACACAGGGCAAACCAATTGGGAATTTTGTCAGTTTGTGTCTCTTCCTCTTATGTTCAAAGTACTACTACAATTTATAGACATCATGTCTTAAAACATACTCACAGCTCAGCTTCCATCTGCTCCTCTTGCTTACACTTTCTTTCTGTCAGTTCTCTCTCATGTTGGCCTTGTAACACGTTTCTTCTATGAGCTCCTTGAAAGTTCCTTCCTCCTTTTTTCTTCTGCTTTTATTTAGGATTTTAGAGTGAGAAGAGATAAGGAGTCTTTAGATTACTGAAAATCAAGTACATTAATAGTTAAACCTACCCACTCTAAATGTCTACACACTATTGCTCTGGTCCGTGAAACACCCTGTTGAGAGTTAGCATTCCCCTGTAACTAAATCCAAGACTTTTACATATAGATAAGAAGTTGAGTTTTATTAGTGCTTTCTCTCATTTTTCTTCTCCCAGATATAGAGAAGAATATCCCAAACACCAAAAAACCCAAAGCCATACCCCACAGATTCTCAGCACTCGAGCACTTTTTTCTCAGGCCAAAAAAGAATATACACATGCACACACACGTGTGCACGCATTCAAGGAAGCATACAAAAAAAAACCCCTTTTGATATAATAAATGTCTTTAAAAAAAAAAGTAAAGATGGATTTAAATTTAAGTTTTAGGGAAAAAAAATTTCTTTGTAAATATCAAAAAGTTACTGAAAAGAGTATTTGACAGAAGGGAATTCTACAACTTCTCATTCCCAAGACATGCATCTATATTAGCCAGACACAAGGCTCCGACCCTTAATAGACAAAATTGAAGACCCTAGTATTAGCTTTAAGAAATATCTTCAATGAACTACTGTTCTTTACAATAAATATGTCAGTAAAGAGAAATATACCTTATCAACTTCATGCTGTCCTCCATCCTCTTCAGAATCAGAGGCTGATGCAGAACCCACTTGGGAAGCATTTCTCCTTTTTGGTTCGGTCTCTTTCTTTCCTTCTCTTCTATCAAATTCCGTTCTTGGTTTGTCTTCTTCCTTCTGACTCTCCTCATCTTTTTTCCCTTGTTTTTTGGGCTTTTCTTCCAGTCCTTTTTTCTTTGTCTTCTCCTCCTCGTGAACACTAAAACACAGTAAATTATTTAAGCTTCATATTCATTATCTATACCCAGCTTAAAACTGAACCTAGTTCTCTCAATTCAGTAAGATGTACTTTCTAGTTTTTACTAATGAATACCTCACCTGCACAAAGTTAGCTCATTCCTAGATGTTTAATTTCATAGGATCATAGGACAATTCAGGTTGGAAGGGGCTTCTGGAGGTCTCTTGTCCAACCCCCTGCACAAAGGTGGGTCAGCTATGAGGTCAGACCAGGTTACTCAGGGCTTTCTCCAGTTTGGTCTTGAAAACCTCCAAGGATGGAGACTGCACAACCTCTCTGAGCAACCTGCCCCACTGCTTGATTGTCCCCAGGGTGAAAAAGTATTTCCATACATCCAGTCTGAATCTCTCTTGTTTCAACTTATGCCTGTTGCCTCTCATCCTCCCACCATGCACCACTGAAGAGCCTGGCTCCTCCTCCTTGGTGACCTCCTTGTAGGTATTGGAAGGCTACTATTAGGCCCCCTAAGCCTTCTCTTCTCAAGGCTGAACAAGCCCAGTTTACTCAGCTCCTCTTCATAGGGCAAGTGCTCCAGCCCCTGACCAGCTTGGTGGCTCTCTGCTGGACTCACTCCATTTAGTCAGCATCTTTCTGATGTACTGTGGGACCCAAAACTGGACACAGTATTCTAGAGGTGGTCTAACGAGTGCTGAGTAGAGGGGAATAATCACTTCCCTCAATCTATGGCTATGCTCCTGTTCATACAGCCCAGGATGATGGTGGCCGCCTTTGATGCCAGGGCACGCTGTTGGCTCATGGTCAGCTTGTTGTCCACCAGGACCCCCAGGTCCTTTTCAGCAGAGCTGCTCCCCAGCCAGTCAGTCTCCAACCTGTACTGTTATCAGGGGTTCTTCCTTCCCAGGGGCAGGACTTGGCATTTGTCCTTGTTGAATTTCATGAGGTTCCTGTTGGCCCATTCCTTTAGCCTGTCTAGATCCCTCTGGATAGCAGCCCTGCCCTCGAGTGTACTGACTGGTCCTCCCAATCTGCTGTCATCTGCAAACTTGAAGAGAGTGCATTCCATCCCCTCCTCCAGATCATTGACAAAGATGTTAAGCAGGACAGGTCCCAGGATAGACCCCTGTGGTACCCCACTTGTTACTGGCCTTTAGGTAGAGAGCAACTGATTAACCACTATCCCCCGAGCACGACCTTCCAACCACTTTTTTTATCCATTGGTTGTCTACCTATCCAGACCACAACGCGCTTAACTAGATATAGCAATTTTGTGGGAGACAGTGCTGACAGCCTGGCTGAAGTTGAGGTAAACAACTTCCACAACTTTCCCCTCACCAACAAACTCAAGTCATTTTATCACAGAAGGCAATCAGGTTGGTCAAGCATGATTTACTCCTAGCAAATCTATCATGACAGTTCCCAGTCACCTTCTTCTCCTTCATGTGTGCAGAAATGTGCACACATGAGGACTTGCTGCACAATTTTCCCAGGGAACAAACAGTGTCTGACCAGCCTGTAGTTACCAGAATCAACCTCTTAGCCAGTTTTGAAGATGGATGCAATATTTGTCTTTCTCCGGTTGTCAGGGACCTCCCCTGATCTCCACGATCTGTGCTTACATATTCAGCCTCTCTTCCAGCCAGCCTCCCAAACACAAGTGATTTCACAGTTGAATTGCCTCCCATCCAACCAGTCCTATACTTTTGTCTGACCTGCACATCTTCCTGAAGGGGCAAATGCAGCTTCTCAGATCTCTGTTGCTTTTCTCCCACTGTTCCTTAAAGGGGGAGAGCAGGGCAGGTGAGCAGGGACTGTGTTTCTGAGACCCAGGGCCAGGGTTGGGGCCACTCATCCCCTCACTAAAGGCTTAGAGACATTCACACTGATGCCAAAAGCCATCCCCACTGCCATGCAGGAAGGGAGAGGAGCAGACCTGCCCTGATCTGCCATGTCTCTCCTGCTTCCGTTCCTCCTGGAAGAAGGGATGGGGCTGCCTCAGCTGACAGCCCTGCCCCAAGGGGCAAAAAACAAAGCAGAGAGAAGGCCCAACTCAGCCCCTTAAAACACTAGAGAGAAAACATAGGCCCTATTCCCAGCCCTGCCCCTGACTCACAGAGTCACACAGAATCACAGAACAGTTGCACATATACATATATATATATATATATAAAATCTATATTTATATATATATCTATCAGCCTATTTATTAGTAGTAGTTTTAGGAGCTTCATGGAGCTTCCATCACTTTCCCTAAGAGAAAATCAGTACCAAGAAATTCTGCCACCACACAGAGGTATACAGCTATACATATATATATATATATATAAAATCTATATTTATATATATATCTATCAGCCTATTTATTAGTAGTAGTTTTAGGAGCTTCATGGAGCTTCCATCACTTTCCCTAAGAGAAAATCAGTACCAAGAAATTCTGCCACCACACAGAGGTATACAGCACAACTTTCCATCTTCTCAATTTCACCATATTCCAGTGTTAAAGCAAGCTAAATAGTTTATCCACCTTTTCAACATTTATACCCTTCACATTCTGTAAAATGAAAACTTAGTACACTGCCATTACAGATTCAAATTTATGGAACGTGCTTATCTGCTATCCCCAGCGAACGTTCTGTTAGGAAAACAGCTAACAGCCCAGTGTTTGAAGTGCTGCTGGTATTAGTGTGGAGCACTGCTAAGCAAGAGATGCATGCATCATATTAATGTGAGAGAACGCTGTATAGTACATCATCTAGTAACACATTTCCCATAGGGTGCCAAAGCATCTCTTACAAAGGGCCTTTCCTGCTCTTACAGCGAATAGGTTGTATAAACATAAATAATTTCAAAGATAAGTAAAAAAAACTCACACACATTAAAATACTAAAAACGTACATTTCATAAATATAATGAAAGTGTGTGAAGTACTAAGGTAATACTTAATTTCCTCATATCTAGTCTTAATTAGCTTGCCTTGGAAGTTAATTGTGGTTGCGCTTTCTAAAAGTTATTTTCATAATGCTAGCAGCTACAAATGAGTATAAAGTATTAAATTATCTGTTTCCTAGACTACATACTCATATAGCATACTTAATTGCTCCAATAACCTTCCCCATGTTAGTAGTAAATGACAAATTCAAAACATTTCCTTCAAGAATACTTGCAAACTTGCCACAAGAATTCCAATTAAATCACTGTGCTACTTTCACAAACAACTACTGCAGAACTATTAGCAAAATGTTTGAAATTACACACTTTTAATAGCTATATTTCCTTCTCAGCTGTCTATCAATCTACAGAGATTTCTTCTAAACCTCTTTTCAGCTAAATCTCTCCAGCTCTTCACTTGTTTTTATTGTCATTTGAGCTCTACCTACAGAGGGTCTCCCTCCCCCACACATTTTTTTTTAACTCATGTTTTATGGATATTCTAACACAATTTAAGTATCAATTTTATACATCTTTGACTAATACAAACCTTCGTGAAGCCACAGTGCATAGAAATAAAGAGGTCTTATTGCATATTGTGCAAGTTAGCAGAATCCTATGGAGGCTTTCCTAAAGGTGATACTTGCACCTGGATACAATGATGAGCCTTATTTCAGATGACCCAGCACAAGCATTAACAATTTAAAGCTCTTTATGTGCTAAATATCTCAGGTTGAGATGTAGGATATTTTATCACTATAACTTTCCAGCAATACACACACGAAAATGTTTACAAAATAGTCTTTAGCATTAGGAAATGTTTTATGATACTTTAGGGACCTGAGGGCTGGGGGCAATAAATCCTCTGACCATCTCTATTAAGTTATTTTGTATGGGGGAAAAATAAATAAAATTCCTTTTTGTTTAAAGTTACCTGCTGGTCTTCCTCTTTTTGGGCTTATTTTTGGAGCCACAGCGACTGCAGTTGCTGCTGCTGCAGCTTCTTCAGCTTCAGTTTGTTTTTCAGCCTAATTTAAAGCAAGTAATTCACAAATTAAAGCCATGGACCCTCTCCCCATAGAGCAGCTATTTCTTACTTGCTTCCTAAAATATTGCGCATAGTTCTAAATTGCTAAAAAAAGACAAACCAGTTTAGTTGAGCGAGGATGCGTAAAAAGACCAATAGTTTCTGTTAGGCGGAGCCCAAATCTGGTAGCCTGATAGAGGTGATGCTGCTGCAGCTCCATGCCCTCAGGTCCAACCAGTAGCGAGGCTGAGAATGTATTCCCAGTAGGCACACACACAAGCACACATATGCAACACATACATACATATACACGTGGTCGGCCTCACAGATCAACACAGAAGCGCTCAGCAGTCACAGAAACACAAATAGCAACAACAGCCTCATCCTGTTCCCCTCTCTGGCTGATTAGGAGGAAGGTCCGTTAGTGGGACACGTATATACATATGTACAATGTGGATCCCTCCAGCAGCTGGGCTTAGACTCTCAGTCTGGATCCCTGGTCTCCCCAGTTGCTGGCACCTGGACATACGAGCCCCCAAGGCCCACAGCCCCACTCCAGTTGCTGGTACAGACCCCTTCATGCACAACATACACTGTGGATCTGTCCAGTAGCTGGTCCTGGATCCTCGCTCTTCCCGGGTGCCTCACCCCTAGAGACATGTGAGCACGCACACACCCAGGTCTCAGTTGACCCCCAAACACCACGCCCCCTCTGGCAGTTGGTGGGGACTCCCCAGGTCCTTCCAGTAGCAAATGCCCCTGTCGTCTCACCCTTAGAGAGCCACACACATACCTGATTCCCAGATCACTTAACCTACTCACTAGCTAGTCTGGCTTGGTATTTACTAGCAATCAAACACTGACAGTTGACAGTTTTTGCATTAAGAGTCCATTTATAAGCTTACCACTCTCACTGAACTGGTGCACCTTTCATGCTGAGAAATACATAAGCTGCACACGTTCTAAACTCAAGCAACCTACAAACTATGTTTCTGTCACGTGTAACTTGCTTGCATTCAATATTTTTCATAATTAAGCAATTGCATATGCAGTGTTAAATCGTTTAAAGGAGAGCCCGTTAAGCAGAGTAAACATGAACTTACAGAACACTCCTAAGCTCCAAGTACTGCATCTAAGCAATTGGTTGGAAAATGTCTTTTTCAAGTTGCAGACCTGTGCATTCAGTTCTGTACTTTAAGTATTGCTGTAACTTTACTCCATCTGTTAACTAGAGATAAGATGTTTTCATACCTTTTTGAATATGTACTTTAACAATCTGATCTGATAGCTAACCTTGCTTTGAGCAGGAGGTTGAAGTACATGACCTGAGGTCCCTTCCAATGTGAATTATTCCACAATTCTATGCATTCTAGAAAAGAATCTGTCCCAACTGATTGTGCTGAAGAACCACTTTCAATTGTGTTGGTAGGCATATAGGCTATTTCCTTAAGTCATCTTTTTAAAGTTCAGGGCATGTGTTGAATGATTCATGGGTACTAAGAAAAACTGTAGTTGGTGACCTATGTTAAATCAGCGTTATGCCTCACACTTATGTGAAAGAAAAGCCAAGGTCTTTTCTGCAACATTGTTCAATAAGCTGCTTTGTTTCTTTTTTGCCAACTGAGAGGATGAATAGCTGAGGATGTTGGCACAAATTTGGCAATAGACTGAGGAGGAACACCTGAATGGAATACAAATCAGATCCTGAATAACTGCAGTTCACAGCTCGACATGTTAACTTGAACTCAGTCGGTGTTTGCTTATCTTAAAGTGTGTGTGTGTGTGGGGGGGGTCATCTCAGCAGAGAAGCTGGCATCACTAACTGCTTCAGTCTTCCAAACGTCATCTACTGCTGATTGTGCATCAACACACTGAGATTCTAGTCTTATTCCAGGTCAATGAATTTTTAAATAAGACTTATGCCTAAAATTCTGTATATGGCTATTAACATTGCTTTATTTTTCTAGAACATGAGGTGAAGAGAGAGAGCTTGAAAATCCAAAGGAATCTTTCTTCAAACAAATGATGCCATTGGAGTCCTTTTTCTTTCTTTTTTTTTCTTTTTTTTAATACAAATTAGAGAGGATTAAGTTTTTAGTTTAAAATCTATAGACTGAAAGTTTAAAAAAAAGCATAATATTTTAATGGTAAATTTTGTGGAATAACAGCCCCTTTAATCTTCATTTTAAAAGTATTTAAATGCTTTGCTGATGATTTCATCCAGTATTAACAAGTAATACACATTTCAAAAACCTATTCAGAAAACAGGAGACGGTTGTAGTATTTTTTTTTATTACTACTGTATGTTTTTCCAGTTAATAGCAGGAAAGAG